CCCACGTAGTACGCATAAAAATAAAGGAAAAAGGAAACGGAACGATTGCGGGATGCAAACAGACACGGTACACGTTTCGAAGAAATGTGTACGATGGGAAGGCAAGGCCATCGATATAAAAGGCTGTTGCTTGATCGAAGGCCAGCTCGTGTGGGAAAACCTGAGACCGACTGGTCGACCTACTACTCCACGCACACGTCACTCAGGTGTTTTCACCAAGCCACAGATAGGTTGATTAAGAAGGCTCGCGTGTATTATCCGGAGATCGCATCAAATTGCACGGAGGATCTACGATACCAGTTACGGAGGAGATCGTAAACACAAAGCGATCGCTTGTTCTGACAAATAAGGCGATGCAAGCGCATCCTTGAGTGTTCGAACTTGTTGTTGCAAGAAACATTCGAGGTAACAACCGTCTGATGTCAGTGAGACTCGCTGTCGCAGAGATTCTGTGCGATGCTAATTTGTTTGCAAGCTTTCGTCTGACTATCCGTTTGCATACATCCCTTAATGTCTGCAACTGATCCTACCGTTTAGGGTAAGAACTTGTTAGATACGTAGTATTGGTGACAAATCCAATAGTAAACCGTGAACTAAATAAGAGTAGTACGATGGTAATGTTAACTTGTTTCTAAGCTCCTGTCTGACGATTTATTTGAATGCACTCCTTAAAATGGTAAGTGCGGCTCACGCGTCTCGAGTGAATATAATATTGTAATTGAAGTGTTCAGGGTTAAATGATACTATAATCTATAAGACCATAATCTTATGTAATAAGATTATTTAGCAAATATGAATCAATTGGATTAGTTGAATTAATAAAACGCAATCAACGAACAACATAAACTCATTGAAAATTTGATTCATCCTCATAGCTCGGTCTGAACGAAAATAACAAACAGATAGTCCGGTACATGACGGTCCATTCGCATCGTCATTGAGCTCATTATTCGAATTTAATTCATCGAAACGCGATGTGCATCGGCGCGAATGCAAGATTGTTAGGAGCTGTTAAATCCGGCCCCAAAGGAACGAACGTTGATGCTTAATTATAATTAATGTGAAATCATATTTCAATTTGCTGATAATTGGATATTGCTGCTGATTTTACAGAACTTTAATTACAAACGTTTGTCATGATTCGAAATGATTTTGGTTATCGAAGAACGTACACGATCGAATGTAAACTGAATGTAACGGACGTATGAAAGGTTCCGAATGAAAATATAAAATATAAAATAACGAATGTAAAGAAAGCAAGAAGCCTATTATTCAAAAATATTATCTCGGCATTAATTTGAACAATGGATCAGTCCATTGTGCTTACAACAATGAATAATGCCGCGCAAATCGTCGATGGAAAATCGAAAAATGAATAATGAGACGTCAGGATTGAATTACTTTTATGCAATGGTAATAAATGCAAGGAAACTCTGTTCCATGTATAGAAGTTCATTTCATACGAGACAGCTGTAAGTTATATCCACGGTTGGCCACGCGCGACAGCGATATTTTATTTGACGAGGAATCATTTATAATCCATTTCAAAGAAAATCCGAAGTCACTTGCATTTTTATACGATCCACATTATTATGCTAGACACGCAGTCTGCTCGTAATTCTTCGTATTATATTATACATGCACCGGATGAAAGTGTAAATCGTGTTGACAAGGCATAATGATTCGGACGTGACAATATTGGGAATTCAGGGTAATCCTATCGGATCGACATCTTTATAACCGAGGTTTGGACCGGTTTCCCGATGATTTCTCGACCATCCTCATTTATCGACCTTCATACACGACACTCGTCATATCGAAATCTATTCTATACACGTGGAAAATTAACCCCTTCACTATGAGCGATGCACCACGCCTACGGGTATGCCATATTCTACTGATTTTTCTACCAAGATAATAAAATAGACCTATGACTATCACACTGACTATAAAAACAGAAACAACTTCGATAAAAACTGAACTGTGGTATTGCTTCGGAAAACCATCTGTGGAACTGAAGTTAAAAATTCTAGGAAGGTTTCACAATGTCATGTTAAAAGGTTATCGAAATTATGAAACAATATCAATGTCAATCAACAGATGAAGCAATGTTGTTCAAAAGAAAAAGCGTAAAAAAGATGTTGCGAGGGAAAGGCAAACATAGTATGGACTGTTATCTCGTTCGAATATAACGAGTCATTTCAGTCGAAAATAATCCATTTTTCCTGTGATAAAAAATTTCTAGTTTCTATTATCGAGTATGTGAATCGTTGTTGCGTGCCATACTTACATCCGTGGTCTGAGTCAACGAACTGGCGCACTTAAAGCAGACCTTAAATCAGATTACCGTGTGCATTTTCCTGGCTGGCCGAGTACAGAACACGAGGAAATGTGAGTAGCGTATGCACGTTGCTCCAGGAACAATGGCACACTCGGCCATTTCTTTAAACGTTACGTCCAAAGGTAAGCATTAACAGGCACAAAGTTGCTCCGTAAGTAACGTCGTTTTGTTGTAACTACATGTAACGTTACCTTATTTCCTGACAAATCTATGACGATGATATTATACCCTGCGATGAAATCTTTTTACAAAAACGGAGCCCAAGTATCGTGTGGTCTGTTGTGATTTACACTTTCAAGTGTTAAATTGGTGGGTATAAAAATTCTCATTAGATTAAAGTAAATACCCTAAGGAGTTTCGAAATTCAGAATCCAATAGCTACTAAAATATTCGTCCGAAGGTTTATTCTATCCGACCCAAATCTCGAGTTACATCCCCTTTTGTACCGTTCCTATTGTTCACTTGTTTTCGCAGATAATAGCGTTACAAATTTTAGATGCTGAAAGCGAACTGAAACTATTCATGTACACCGGGCTGCCGTTTACAAATACGGGAAACACATACAGCATACGGTGATTGTAGTTATTAGCGCAGAATAGCTTATGCTGAATCATATTTTAATGAAAACAACGAACACGCACGGAATAACTATTTCATAAGGAAAACAGATGAATAAAAGCGATCTCAACCCTCGTACGTTGAGTTTACCTTTGAAAACAGGTATACAAGGTTCTCTGACGCGATTTCTACCTACGACCATGAAGTTTTAAGGTTCGTAGCTGGGTTCTTCAAGGATGCAACTCGAGTCTGATACGATCCCTTCGTATTTTCAAGATCCTCGCGGTGAATTCAATGGGCCTTTCACTTCGACCTGTCCGAAGAGCTTAAAATAACTTTTCTTGACCTGCTCACACCAAATTTGGTCCATCTTAACTCACATCGCGTTATTACCTTGATATCCTTCGTACGTGTATAAAAATATTTCATTTATTATAAAAATGATTAAATCGATCGGTTTTCTAACAATATGTCGAAAATTTTTAAATAAAAGCGTTAAAGTTAATTTGAATCTCAATCAAGCTGTCTCAAACTGCTCAGTGAACACGTAATTAATTTCCAAGAGCCGAACGGAAGCGGCATTATATGCTTGGACCGTTCTATTCAAGAAGCTATTCTCTGCTCTCTATATCTCATTACCCCTTATCACATGATGCACACAGAGACTATGGACTTAATAAGCATAAGTGCTTTTGAGTGCAGCATAGTATGGTAAAGGTATACGAACACGAATTCTTATGTAATTAGCTTTAGTTTTATATTCCTCTTTCTGTTTAATATCATCGTTACCTACTTAGCGTTGTCCGAGTATCACATTATACTACCTGAGCGTTTCAAATAAGTCTTCATTAAAATATTCATATTATAACTACTAAAATAGTGGCAGAATTGTTCAACCACTGTTTAATCTTGTCCAGGTATAATCAAGTCGAAGGAAAGTTGATGGTTAAATAATAAACCCTGGTAGTAATAATAGACGAACTTTGTTCAGTTTAATAAACGAACTTCTCTTGATTAATTTTGAATTTTTTCTCTTGCAAATATTCAAGAGTATTTAACTTCTTCCACAAAATTAAGTATCTCAAGTTCAAATCCGATTAGCATTTACAACACTTTTTTTCCTTTCAAAGATTACTTAATTTCAGAGAAATCTCAATCAAAGTTCGTACAAATCGCTTTCACCTGGACTTCCCACTTTTTCTTCTAATGGACGGGATACTAAACTGGGACGTGATAAATTCTTTAAAGCGAATATGAAAACCGTTCCATCAAATGGAATACTTGATCTAAAATTTAAATTTTTCAAATGACGCAATGCAAATCATGCCATGCCAGCACACACAACAATATTCTAAAACTGATTTTCGAAGAACCGAGTATTTCCATCTACTATATCTCCGTTAAGATAATTTACTTTCAAGCTCTGAACGAGTTTCTTCGATCGGTATTCAATTTCTCCGAGAGTCTAGATAAGCCTTGCCTAATCTATGGAACGTTTCATTGTCACCATATGCAGCAATAAAAGGAAAGACTAAGCATTAGCTGGCACACATGTGGCGCACGGGTAGCCGGTGTTGGTGCGTGGCATGCATGGGCATTCGTCACTTACTGAATGGATTTCAAAAGCACGTGAGTCAGTTCCTTCCTCGAAAGTTGATGCTATTTCAGCGTGTACGGAAAACTAAAGCGAAATAAAGCATGACTAACGACTCTACGGTAGATTTACGTGCGTGGCTAGCAAGCTATACGAAAAGCCAGCCGGCTACCCAAGCCACCCACTACAACAGGATTTTTCGACCTGTTTTTCGCTTTTTTCCGGTCTTTGTTTTCCCTTCCATCCCCATCTCCATCGTTAAACATTCACTCTCCTCTGTCGCGTTCCACAAAATTCCTTTTTAACATACATCACAAGTATATCATACAGTAGAGTCAGATTGGTACCGTACTTTTAAATCTTGTGTATTAATATTACTTTTTTCTTAACACCTCCTTAGCATTTTTGATTTTCATACAGTTCTATCAAATTTAACTAGCTCTTAAGTTTGAAACAAATCTAAAAGTTGTATTGTAATACTTAATAATAGGAAACTTTAATTATGCTACATTCATTACACTTTCATTTCGCTTCGAAGTTAAATTGAAAAGTTTCTTTCTTCGTTTAATTAAATTTGTTGACAACTATAGTGGAACGAAGCGTGTCTACCAGTTATTAAGAATAATGATGTTAATGAAGATTTCAATATTTCTGTGAATATCTCGCGAGGTGTTTAATTTCATTATAAAAAAAAAAAGGAGATAATGATAAAATCGCTAAAGATGAAGATAAAAAGCAATAGGTACTAACGCTGAGGAATTTTCAAAATCAGATATATCATGATTTATTCAACGCGTCTGTTGGCATCGAGCGCGTTTGAAAGACGACCTTTAAAGCGTGTAAATTTGAAAGGACCCTACACACAATCAGAGCGTTTCGGAGCGGTTAGGGAACGGAGTAAAATCGGCGCTGCTGTCGGTTGCCCGACCTGTTCCCGAATACCTGCGAGCTCTATGTCGTTATTACGAACTTCAGACTCTCGTAAAAGACCCGTAAAGAATCACTGAAAGTTCACGGTATAGATTTTAAAGTACTATACAAAAGGGAAAAGTATCGTGTACCGATAAACGCGAGCAGAACGAATGTGTCTTGCCGTTGTTCACGAAAGTTCGTGCAACAAGAGACACAGAACAGAGATCAACGTTCAACTTCTCCGTACAGAAGTTCCTTCGAGACAAGATTCCATTCCGAGTGAGTCCAGGTTACTCGAAGAAAGAACATGTCCCCTCCGTCTAACCTCGTGTGCCACGAAGACGAGGGTAAGGTAAGATCGACTACTCTTATTCGCGTGCATCCCAAGAAGGTCATAGCGAGACGCGAAACATAGAATGAAAGAAAGAAGAAGAATAAATATCAGTACTTACCGCCATACAAGGAGTTGCTTTCTTTCCACTGGTATCCGTCAATCGTAGCCTCCACCAGCAACTTTGACCGTTTTTTACTTCTTTATTTTTCCCGTTTCTTCCGCGCGGACGCCAGAGACGCTGCAGCTGCGACACACACACAGACCGATCCACGAAACTTATCAAAAATGGCTAAAGCTACTTCGTCACACCCGACTTCAATTCTTTTTCACTGTAACGCGCGTACGTATCGTATATCGCCGCTCACGAATCGATCACACTTCGGTCGATCATTAAAACACTCACTTCAGGATGCACGTTGTTCCGTGCGTGCATGACAGAGAAAAATCACGTGGTTAACGCGTTCCGCGAAAATCAGCCTTAACGACACTAAACGACTTTTTTTATTTACATATTTTTCTATTATAAATTTCGATTTTCAATCGAGTTAACAAACGCGTACTAATTGTCACATGTCGTCGCGAGAGAGGGAAGGATTATACACCCCGTGAAACACACAAACGCGTGATAAAATGTTTAAAAAGGAACCGGCGAAACACGCGGTACACGTCACACGTACAACTTTCGCGCGCTGCAGACTCCGGTAGACTGAGCGTCGAGAAAGTCTTGAGGCCAGCGTACGCGATTGCTGCGCTCCTAGTGGCCGATACCTCAACTATCGCGTCACGTGTCTTTCGCCGGTCCCGCTCCTTGTGTGCTCCGATTCCTTACAAACTCCATTTTACTACGTTCATACTACGGCTCCGTGTATACATATTAAATCAAATCCGGTCTAACCGCGCGGAAAATCTTATGCAGAAATAACAATTCTCGATTTTCGTAGATATAACGAGCATACCAAGTACGGGATATCGTTCAGTGGTTTGTGTAGTGTCGACACGTTGAACGTGAGCATGGTTAAGCTTCGAAAAAAGGTGGGTTTCAACAGCGCTGGTCCAGGTGAGTCAACTCCATTACCAAACATGTTTTACTAACATAAAAATATCTGCATGAGATATTGATATCTAGTTTTTCAAATATGTAAATCTATTTTCAAATGTAATGCGAATTATAATTATATGGACAGTCTTCTCTTTCCGTGGACAAACTTCCCTTAGAGGGAACCGCCATTACGTAGAAAAACTTTGTATATTTATTTAACACTCATCGTAAGTGGTATGTCTTGTACGTATTCACACAGTCGGTTTGCTTATAGTTTTCACGCGTCTCCGAAAATAAACCGTACAATCCCCTCAGCAAATATGGTTGACATTTACACCACCCTATGTGAAATAGTAAACAATTCTTCGGAACGTTGAATAGACATCACATTTGGCGTACACGTGGCGCGTTATCTGGTAATGTGTTAAATTCCACCTTGTACAACGTTCGCGGTCGATTCTGCTGTTCCATTGTGCCAGGTTACTAACATTGTTCGACGAGAGCAATTTAAACCGTGCTCTGTTGTTAACTTTGAAATTCATGGATCGAATCAACGACGTTCTATTGATTTGATTATTTCTTGTAATTCGTAGGAACATGATGTGTGACCTAGATTTGCTTCATTGTCAGTATTCAATGTGAAGTAATATAAATCAATTGTACGCTGTAACGTCGATTACGGTGTTACGTGTATAGGTCATCGTGTCATTTTTACATGCTTGTCCTTCGATAAACCGTTGGGACAAAAATTTCTTTTTTTTTCACTTTGGCGTTTGAAATGTTAATAATTGAAACGCGAAACGTTGTACCAAACGTGGAAAGGTAATTAACTTATCAAAGAGCCGATCAATCGTGGAAACGGAAAGATTACCCAAATTAATTTTGTACCAACCGTGTACGTGCGTTAATGCTTGGATATTGAAGTTACGATTTGATTGACATGAAATCAGTATTCCCAGCATCTCTGCGGGCTGTTTCATTGAATTGCAGAGGGTGTGGCTGCCGACAAAATTTTTCGTTTCTCGTACCTACCGTGCCTCGGTGTACACCATTTATTAGAATCAATTGAATAAATTACGTTTCATTCATCGTGGCCCCCTCTCGTTCTTATATTTCGTGCATCGTTCCTCGACCTCGTTCCGTTCATACCAACAATATTTTTTTTTACGACAACAGTATTTTCAGCGGTATAGTTTTCAACGCGTACGCAAGTGTACTAAACGAGTTCGCCGGAGAAACATAACTTTTGAAGGATGTAAAATAAGGTTTCGCTATTTTGTAAAAATTTTAAATCTCCTGATTCAAACTGAATCAACAACGCGAAATTATAATGACAAAAATGCTTTATGTTTTTAAACATTTTGCTATTCTAGTGATCAGAAATGTTATTAGCAAAAGAATTTGATATTTCAATGTCGCGTTTTCAAAACGTTGAGAATGTGAAATTGTTGTGGCGAAAACGCTTTATGCTTCCCGTTGCTGAATTTGATTGCTCCGCAAAATGTAAGCCCACGCGAATATGCGAAATTTTAGAATATCCACAATATCGACAGCTTTAACATGCACGCATTGATGCTGTGGTTCTAGTGAATCGACAAAACGGTATCTCGAGATCAGTCGATTCTCTTCTTTCATTTATTCATTTCGTTTCTGATAAACAAAAGGAAAAAAAGATCGCTTCGATAGCGTCTGCATCGACATTCGCTAAATATTTAATACCTGGCCCGTTTCGAAAATCTACTGCCAATCATTCCAATTTAATCGAATAAACGAATCGATTAGCGAGACGGCTACAAAGAATTCATCCGATATCTATGTTCTATTCCTCTTTGCATTGTAAACATGCATATGTGAGCTAGAATAAATCAGGAATTGTATGAAAGGTTTCATCGAAAGGATTCCATTAAATCGTTCTAATTGATAATCGAGGCGTTTCATTTTTTAGCGTTTATCATTTAATGAGATTTAACTCCAATAACGTTTCATTTCAATTAATTTTTAATCCGATTTTATAACCATTGTTCAAAGGTTAATCAATGGTCTGATAATCCATTCTTTCGTTAATAATCAAGATTCTTCTACATTTATTCTTATGTCCTTTTTTTGACACGCTTGTTTGATTCCGCATATCATTATTTTAACAAAAGGGAGGAACAGGAAGTAGAGGGGTGATGGAGGATAGGGCAGCACGATTCAAGTGTGAAAATAAATTACGAAGTGTTTCTTAATGAAACTTTTGCAGCAGACAGTGCTGCGGTAATTTCTCAGACCTGTCTCATACTTGTCCTGTTTCCCGGGAAAAGGGGACAACCTGGCACTGAAACGTGAACGGTGAAAAACATTTATATTCGCTGGAAAAAACCACGTTACAAAGTTAAAATTTGATGATGGAATCACTCGTAAAGCGGCAGAGTCTGGTTCAATCGTAACCTGCACCTATAAAATGTACATAACGTTCTGTTGACTAAAGTTAGATGCAGAAATTTTTAATCGGAAAACTTCCTATGCAGTCAAATGAAATTTAAATTATTCATCTAAGCTGCTGTCTGAAAATTAAACATGAAATAATTCATATCACTAAACGCACAGTTGTACGTTTTGTTTAATTGTTGCACAGAGGTCTTTGTTTTCTTTATTTTGCCGTTTTTAATTCGTTGCTCGTTATTTTGCAATGCAATTAGTTAGATCTTGAAGCATGAACAAAATATACAGTGACCAACTTAACAAGCATTTTTTTCCCGACAGTTGGTATACTTTCATTACTTCAATTAAATTCACTGTCCACCTAAGTTTTCTCTCATTACCGTGCTTGGCCCGAGAGCATAGAACTCCGTGATGTACAACTTTTCCTTGCTTTGTTAACGTTTTGTTCATATTGCGTTTTATTCGTGCACGGGTTTTCCCGGGGAATACTTCTGCAAATGCTTTTTTTTCGTCTCTTGAAGATACTAACTATTTATACACAGTTCCGCGAAGTTTTTAATAGTGATAAAGATGCAACGAAAGCGTAAACTTCGATAGATCGGAAGGAAGTATAACGAACTTCAATCACTCATGAAAGCCTTCGTTTATTTTATAAGAAAGTTATTTTCGATGATTCTGTTCAACTATTATTCTACTGTTTGCTACATCTCATTTTAATGAAATTGATCTATTTTATGAAGTGTACGAAGAGCTCCGGAAGTGACGGTAGTGTAACAAGGAATATTTGGAATTTTAAATTATTTTCGAGCAGGAAGTGCGATAATGTGATTTCTTAATTTTAATCGGGTCAAGTGGCAGCTTCACTCGGGGCTGTTACAAACTATTAAGAGAATGTAATTAAGCGGAGAATGTGGATAATGCGATGTATATTAAACTTGAGATAGTTGAAATATTCACCGCTGGCATTTAACAATGCAAGTATCTTGATAAAATATTTGCACATACAAAAATAAGGGCATAAACTTGCTTCTCAAATAGAAAAAATAGTGATTCTGTTTTTCTGATTCTTTTCATATCATTTCCCACGACATACATACCAGATTGCTGTTAATTCGAAGAAGCATGCTTTGATTGAAATAATTATTTTTAGATACTTGTAATGTTACGCAAAATTGATTAATTGATCTTCAGTCAAATGATATCGAGAAGACTATTAATATGCTCTCAATCCCTCACTTGTTAATTAAAAAAGTTCAAACTGTTGTTTCATCTAAAGAAAAAGATGAAGAGCATCGCCCGATTACTTGTTCAATACCCATGTTCGTTAATTCTCAAAATGTATCGTATTACTTTAGGATCGATTACTCTGCTACATTAACGTAACAACGAGCGATCTATTGCAAGGAGTTGCTGGCACATGAACAAAGCATTCGTTGAAACGGAATAATGCACATTCCGAGTGTAAAGCGGAGATACTGTAAACTTCAATACAGAATATATTTACCAAATTCGAGTTGTTGCGAATCACGGGGGTGGAAGAAAGAAATTATCGCCCGGCTGCGATCCCAAGCCGACTACTGTTTAATCTCCATTCATTTGCAAGCATTTGCTTAATAAGTGTGAAGCGTGTACATCGAGCGAGTTTTGCGCTTTGAAATTAATAAATAATGCGCGTGTTAAAATGAGATTAACGTTTCGCACAAAGAAAATCTTCGTTTAATTGAATTTTCATGATGGTGTTTGTTTATTTTACAGAAGGATACTGTATTTTATTAATTTTTTTTACAATCAGCCTTAGTCCTTCTCGATACATTTTCATTCATATCTTGATTCTTCCGCCATTTCTCTCAGCCTTAGTTATCAAGCTTTGACAGAGACATCCCGAAGTATCGCGAGGTGCATACGATTTTCATCTATGGATCTACCACGTAGAATCTATACAAACGAAAGACGTTCTTCATCCTTCTCTCTCTATACCCTTCATTGCAAGTCATCTAAGTTATTATTCTCCTATGTTCACTCGTTCCCTCTATCTCTGTTTCCTGTTCGTTTCTTGTATTTCGATGTCAGCGGGTCTCTGTCTCTTACCGCGGGCTGCTTCGTTAGTTTCACCGGGCGTTTGATTACGCCGCGTAGCCGGAAGGGCCAATGTTTAATTTCTTTCTCTCTGCACGGCCCCGGGTCTCGTTGCGATGAATGGCAGTATAAGAAATGATAAAGGTACGTTTACATAGGCGAAGCAGGCGAAAAAGCATGCGGCCAGGTACAAATACGTGCTCTCTTTTACCAACACTCTTCGAGTAGCTCGGTGTTGGCCTTTTGTGATTTCTTTCGTTGCGAGTTCGTTTTTCTTTTTTCTTTTTAGTTTTCTCGCTGTATGGTCGCATTTTTCTCGTGGCAATGTTAAAATAATGCGTGCACGAAAGTGTAAGACCGAAACTCGGCACAATGGTTTGGTATCTGAATACTTTGAAGCGTGTTGTAATCAGCTACTTCCGCGCTAGCGTTAACCCCTTAACCCGTACGTACGTTTTTCACCTTAAAAAAAGAAATAATTGTACACTTCTTTTGTTTGGCAAAGCGTGCTCTCGGTC